GAACTGTATGACTATCTTTGTGGAAAGTTCCAGAACTGTGAAGTGTTACTTTTGCTAAAATAAATCTTATCAAGCTATCATCAGTTCTGCCTGCATTCAATCTAATACGAACCTGTGCGCACGCAGCAATATTTTAGATGCTACTGAAAATATATTATGTTTAGTATTATGCAAATTTTATATTCTATTCCATTTTTATGCATTAAGTTAAATTCGTTTACGTCTGTAGGCTAAAAAAAGTTTCACTTAAAAAAAAACTCGAACTTAATTACGAGCGGGTGAAAGCTTTGTCCTTTAAAACCGCTGGAGCACTAATAGAATATTTTTTCAATCCATTTATTGTAGATTATAACAAGAATACAGAGCTTCCTGTGCAGTTTAACGAGGTCACATTCCCCAGCGTGTGTTCTCGAGGTGTAACTGGTGACACGTCCATTTAGTAATCGGAAGATTCGTGACTCGAATCCCAGCGAAAGCATAGCTAATTTTTTACGTTTGCTGGCATCCAAAAATCTCTACAGTGCCCCCGAACTAAAATGGGTAGATAGGTCATCACTGGATTTAGTCCACTGGATTTTAGCCTCTTATCACTTGCCCCCTTAAGTGGGAAAGAATATAAGATCGCATCGCCCCCCCCCGTGTGTGCTCTTTAAGTGGTAACATGTCCGGCTAGCAATGACAGATCCGCGCACGGAATATCGATAAAAACACAGTTAAATTTTCTTGTCATCTGCTTCAAAAAACCTACACTACAGTTACTACTACAATGTAATTTTTCTTTTAATCTACAAATTACTTTTTCTACAATTTTCTTTTTCTTTTTTTATTAGCCCAAAGGGGCAATTTGCCTAGAAGGGCTATTAATTTCGTTCTGGCATTTTGCGTTGATTCACTATAAATATCAGTTCACTTTTCAAATTGTTCCCAACAAATATTATCGCCCTGTGTTATATTTAAAGAAATTAAGTAATGAAAATCTGCATAAATGTATGTGTGTTTCTCGCATTTTGGTAAAACAAAGGTCCCTAGAGGCGTCAAATTTTGAACAACGGACGTCTCCACCCGAATATGGGCATCTGGAAGCCCAAATTTGGAATTTATTATCTATTTCATATTTTGTAAAGCATTTGTAGGATTTTGATTAAGAAACTCAACTATTTCAAAGTGAGCAATGGCAACGCTATACGAAAAAAAAAAAAAAAAACATTTTTATCTCAGAGCGCGAGACTGTGTATCGGAAATTCTAAAGGTATACTTTTTTAAAATTATTTTGCAATTTTGCTGTTGAATTGAATTTTATGTTTTAAGAATGAAGAACATGATATTTAATAAATATAGCTAACACACAAAGCATTATAAAAAGAACCTTTAGGCGTGATATAAAAACTGAAATCTTTCAGATCCTTTTATAATTATTTACAATTTATTCATTTTTGTGATTCCCCTTTAAATTTAGTCGTGCCGTAAACAGCAATAAACTTACATTACACAATCCATTACAAAAAGTATTCAGTTAAAAATAACAGTATTCAGCATTATACAAAACCAAAAGCCAATCTCTGCAAAATGTTTTAAATAAATAAAGTAGAAAAGAAAGAGTTTAAATAAGCAAATGCTATAAATAAAGTACTGAATAAAAGCAATTTTGAAAAGAGTTTTCTTTAGTTTTTTTAGAAGTCTCTTAAGTGAAATTACAAATAACAGAGTGAGTAAAAATATACTGTAGTTTCACAGTTTGTCATCAGAAAAAAAAAGTTTCGGGAAATTATTTCCCCGAAATCTTTTCTTAATTGAAATCCTGTTGTTTGCTTCCCTCTAAATCGTTTCGAATATTCATTTTCTTGTTTAAAAGAGTAAAGGAAAAAGTGCATTTTCTTTCACTCTTAATTTTATTTTTAAACTGAAAGAGAAATATCTGACAACCAATTGCAATGATTCTTCGCATAACGAAGTCAGTCAGTTCCAAGACGGCGTTTATTAAAACGAATCGTTCGCTTAATAAACGTTGTTTCGCCTCTACATTTAAACACGAACAATTTTAATCTGCGCCTGCGCCCAATCCAAAATCGCGAAACATCACGAAATAAATTCAAAAAATGTTAGAAAGTACCATTAATGTTAGAAATATAAGGAACTTACAATTAACAGCTATAAATTTTATTTATGTGTATTGTATTATAAATAAAGAATTATGGGATTTTCTCTTACGTGTATAATCGGTAACACATCCAGCTAGAAATTGGAAGGTCCGTGTCTTGAATCCCGGCGAGTATAACGTTTTTATTAATGGCTTCTGGCTTCTAAAATTCTATGAATCACTTGAGCGGCATTCGTGATGGACAATACTTCGTCCACCATCTAGATTTGATCCATTCAATCTGTTGCGTCTTCTCATTTTCCCTATATCATTTTACAGTGCAGGCTTTCGTGCTATAAGTGTTTAGTACATCCAGCTAGATGTTAGGTCCAGCTAAAAGATCTCTAGGATCCAAAGCTATCAAGCACACTGTTAATTTGTTAGTTCTTGACCCGAAATATTTAATAACGCATACAATGTAAGGGTCGCAGTTTTCCAGAGGTTTCGTTTGAGTTTGCTTTACTGCTTCACTGGACTTCATGAGGTCCATGTTTCAAGAAGTTGTCTTCTGAAGTTAGGTATCTCTTCGTCAGCTTCTCACTCTTCAAGTTGAACTTGAAATAATACGTGACATTTGTCATTGAATAAATCTTCCACTCTGTTCGCTTCAGCTTGATTAGAATGCCATTGTTTAACTGAGATCTGGATCTCTTCTAACTTCTTCAAAAGATTTTTGATGGTTGTAATAGACATGGATTTTAGTATTCTCTTCGTATTTAGAACAATTTCCCTTTGAGCTTCTTTACACTTCTGCTCAAAGAGGGTTTGCTGGGTTCTTCAGTTTGTGGTTACAGCTAGAGTATTTTCGGTTATTTTGTTAATTAGGCAAACTGTTTCCTCTTTAAGTCAGTAATTATCTTCAAATTTCCGGAGCTTCCGTAAATGTTGAAATTAATTTTAAGCTGTATAATTATTTGCAAAAGTGAACTTTTAATCGTACTTATTAAGTTTTCCCCCCTTTGTTTCTTGTTCATGTTTTAGAATAAATCACCTTGATTATTATTTAGCTAAGTGATTAGTTCAGATTGAAATTGATTAGAAGAGTTTCAAACAGATATCCCTCCGGATTCTAATGTTGTAAATGGTTCTAACACATATTGGAAATTATTGCTTGTGTAAACTTTCATTGTACTATATTTGCCTACCTGAAACTTAAGAGTTTTAGCTTGTAAATAGTTTACTGTAATAGTTTAATGTATCCGCAACCTTCAGTCACTAGTAAAGTTTCGATTATTTTGTTTTCACTGTCTGTCTGGTGATGTGTTTATCAAATGATAACTGTTTCTAAGCAGAAAGTTTCGGTTAATCTATTAACTGGTCAGAAATCTTTAAATAGGTCCAAAAAAATTGAATTTTACTTTACGCTTATGTGTTAAATTTCTATTTCTTGTATTTTATAATAAACCCATGTAAAAATTTGCTCTAGTAACACAATTATGGTAAACAATAGTTACAATTTAACGAACTAGATGATTTGTTTACAGCGAACGAATGGTTTGAAGATTTACTTCAACATTCCATTCTGGAAAGTATTGTATCATAATATTTTCTAATTTATTTCCGATCCGAGCAGTTTCGTAACTTCTGTACTTGCCTTATATTATTTATTCAAAAGTTTTTGAACGATTGTCAGGAAACTTTAAATTTTTCACATGAAATGAGCATTTCTAATGTTGTTGTCGTGTCCATATTACATGGAACAATGGTTGCCAGAGCCTACTCCGGAGAGAGGTTGGACTTCTATTTTCCACCCCCGATTTTGAGGGAGAGCACCCCCGGAGGGAATCCGGGGGTCTTCCACAAATCCACACGAGAGGACTTTTGGTTCCCCGTATATTTAGAGTGCGTGGTGCGTGCATGCCGCACCGACACTATGCTTTAACAAACATCCATGTCTTCTCCGGGATTCGAACCCGGACCCTTGGGTACTGTAGTAGGCTCCCCTAACCACTGTATCGTCTGGGCGACAATGTTTCTAAACCTTATATTTAATTCTTTGAGTTTTACCTATACTGATTTTGCATACAAATTTGTACAAATGTTATATACTCGCGATTCAGGTCACGGATAATTGAAAAACACGAATAATCCAAGTTACCAATTTTCCTGCATATTGTGCAGAGTTTGTATAAATGAATGCTGCGGTTTCAAAAATTAATAATAAATCGATGTATTACTTTATATGGGCAAGCTTTCAGCATAAGCAGAGGCAACTTCGAAAGGTTTTGATGCATTAATCACAGTCGTTCAGTATGTGCACCCTTGGTCACATGACACACAACTACATGGTAATCAAATTCTTCCCATACTCGGTGCAGCATATCTACCGTGACGGTCTGCAGTGCAAGCTTTATCCAACCACAGACTTCCTTAAGGAACACGGGCATTAGCGGTACATAAACTCAGTCTTTAACAAACCCCAAAAGAAAATCTCATTGTGGTAAATCCGGCGAATGAGTTGGCCAGGGAAGAAGGTTGTTGTCTGCTGATGCAGCATGTCTAATCCAGCGTTGCTGAGGAACACGATTAAGAAGCTCATATAATGAAGCAGAGCACAATCCAATTGCAAAATGGATATAGTATAACTTTAATATAACGCATAACTATATAGACTATATAGAGTATACTCTCAATGATCCCGATGTGTATTTTTCGGCTTGCGGATTATCCGTGCTTGATGGTGCCCCAAGCACACACACCCATTATACCTTTTTTTTTTAGCAGCGTGTACATGCAATAATGTTCAAAAATATAACTATGCATACATACAGACATAACTTAATGATTGAGAGAATATATCTGCATTACCAAATATCACTCGGTTATGATATCCTAAAATAAATTTAGCGTCCTAAAATAATCTTGTGTAAAAAGATAAAGATAATTCTTACCTGTACTTCTGTTCTCTTTCAGATTCCTCCCCATATGTAGCAGGTGCTGCCGTATTGCCCATGAGACTCAAGTACTGTAAGTTTGGACAGGAAAAGGCGAGGGCCGGTATGAAGAGTCGAAAATCCGAGATGAGATTATGGTTCAACCATAGAATTCTGAGTGACGACAACCGAGGAAATTCTGAAGAACTGTCTAGGAGATTGTGGTCCAGAATCAAAGTATGGATTCTGTCTAAAGATCTGAGTTCGCTCACATCCCTTAAAATAGAGTTGAAAGAAAAAATATTTTTATGTAAGTGTTATGAATTTTATAAACATGTAAAGATTATTTTCATTATATTATAAAGATTATTTTCATGTGGTTGTACATCGTAAATAAGTTCACTCAATCAATAAAATTTAATAACAAGTTGATTGTCACAGACTACTTAAATAATAAAATTTATACCTGCATTATGCATTATTAGTAGCGATAATTTGCTTTTTCATCTCTTTCATATGCATTGTGCAACATCTGTACAGGGCTTTAACGCTTTAACAAAAACAGAGATTCATATTCGTTGGATTTGAATTTATTGGATTATTGCAAAGCACATGAGGGCTATCAACCTAGGGGGAAGGGATTCCTTCGTAGAGAACTTCTTAAAGGAAACTAGCTCTTATTCAAGGAACATATGGTAAAAAATTACAAAAATGCCGGCACCAGCGGCCGAAGGGTAAAGTCGTTGAACACTGGTAGTTCGGTCTAAGGTTCGAATCCCATGAACGGGCTAACTGCGTTAGCGTTTTCGTGGTTTTTACCTGTGTAACGTATATACGACACAATTTCCCTTAGAACACGTTCTCCACGGAGGCATTCCTCACCTTAAGCAACGCTCGAGGCTGTGCCGGAATTAACCAAACCAAACCACAAAAACGGCCATGCAGCGAGCTCAGTCTCCAGATTTGAACCTGAATTGAACTGTCAGTGCTCAGGAAACTTAACCATCTGGCTTCTGGTGGGTCTCATTTCTATTAGAAACCTTCATTTGAGAAATGTGGCATATGTGGGTGACGTCAACTAACGAGATGCATAGAGCGCACTAACTCTCAATCTGAGAGGCGCCGAAAGTTTAGCTTTCTAGGAAAGAGACCTGGAGAGAGGTCAGAAAATGGGAAGGCTCATGGGAACATTTAGTGAAAACGAAATTACATTGCATTTAATTAACGTACACATTTTAGTTATTAGTAGTGTAGTTTTAGTGACCTAGCCAGCAGTTTTGTACGTTTAATAAACATTTAAATATATGAAGAAGCGTGAATAATTTTCCTTTGAAGCGGCGAGAAGACTGAGTGACATTACAGAAGACCATGCACGAACCTTTAAGTCACAAGTGATGCCAGAAGAGGGTTTTCCTTGATTTACAGGTCAATAAAACTGAAGAGTAATTAAAAGGTCTTATGGATATTATCGCTAGTCAATATGAAGTGGCTGCAAAATTCAGATCCGTTGCAGCTGTAGCTGCAGGGTAGTTACAGAAACAAATTCAGTTATTAGCGCAACAAATGGAAAAATCTCATCGACGAGAAAATTTCAGCAAAATAAATAAATAATAATAATATTGTTGCGTTTTTCATGTCTGACACCAGTTGTTACGTTACATACGGGGTTCCTGTGGATTTGGAGTGAATAACGACGACGAGCTTGATGAAGTATCGAAACACACTTTATTTAGCCAATATTAATCAAGACAGCTCCAAAGTCACTCTTTACAGTCGTCGAAGATCTTCTATAAACACGCTGAAACTCAGCGACACAGCCTTCAGATTATCAGGCTATAACGGTCGAGACAGCTTCACTGCAAAGCACCAGAGTACAGTTCCCGACTCTGCTCGGTCGTTCTCGGAACTCCACGTTCTCTCGAGATTCTCCACGCTGCAACTCGCGATGCACTCGACAACATACAGAGCACAGCTCCCGACTCTTCGGTTCAGTCGTTCCCGGAGCTCAGCACACTCTCTCGACGATGCACTAACTGCGATACACTAAGAGACTGTTTCGATTTCAATGCACTCGACGACCCACTCGGTACTCGCTGCCCGGCTGTCAACTCGATCGACTCTCACGGACTGAGTAACTCGATGCTGTCCGCGTACCAGCAGGGTTTATATAGTTTTTGGCTTGTGTTCGAGACCATTCTAAATTAAACCGGTGAGAATTCGTTCCAGAAGATTCTCCATCCGTCCATCGCATATCGCCAGTTTCGTCGCCAAATGGGCGATTTCTCACCAGATGTGGCAGCCTTTCCTTCCTTTGCCATTTTTATGGCAACCCTAAAACTGCTTTGTGGAGAAGCTATCTTACCGTGCCTGGACATTTCGTAACACTGCCCGCTCCCAAGGACTGCACGTCCCGGGCAGTACAACCCTTGGTCAGAAGCCAAATTTAATACAATCAAACGCTTCAAAACATACAGATAACATAACTAAAGAAACAAATATTTACATTATATACAAGTTAGATACACAAATTAAACAAGTAACAATTTTAAATTTTACAAATTAAAGTTCAAAACGAATTTCAGTCTCAGTCTTATTATTAAGTTACACCCGGGTCAAATACTTTTCCACTGTAGTTCTCAGATGCATTTCTTTTTGCATATCACAGTCTGAAGATTCAGTTATTTCAGACTTTTCATCCACAGGAAGATCTAAAACAGTTCATTCGTCACTCTGTAGTTCATTCGTAGCATGCATATAGTTTACCTCGGTATTTTTAGCAGATGGTACATGCTTGCCTCTATTTCCTGAAAGCCAATTCCGATGTTTGCACCAGGGTCATGAATAGAATCCGATCCTTTACAAGCAGAAATATTCAGGTTTAGAAGGAAATCATTGTCTGCACAACTGCACTATGAGGCACACACCCAGTTTGTGATGTGGATGAAGTTTCCTGCAATACTGGAGCGCACTGCTTAAGCTGCACATCAGCTTCTCCCATGTCTGCATCACATGCACATTCAGATGGTTCAACACCTGCTGCCTGTGACTTCGTAACTTAACTATCAGTTTCAACGAACTAAGCAGTCGCATTTCCACTTTCTTCCCCTTCAGGCACCTGAGAATCAAAAGCTTTTTTCCCGTCTTTCATTTCTTCATGTTTTCGTTCTTTTTCTTTAATCCCGTTAGTTGTTTCAGCTTTCATTTCTTGATCTTCCTCAGACAGTTCATTAGCTACTTCCTTCATTTCTTCATACTTTGATTCTTCAGATACCATTTCTATCATTTCCATATCCTCTTTTATAGCTCTAGTTTCTTCTGTAAGCTCCACTTTCACCTCTTGGAGTTTCTCTCGAACCTTTACTTGGCCGACATTTATTTCTTCTCTTCCAGTCCGGCTTTGATATCAGCTGTCATCTTTTTATATCCAGCTTTTATCTCTTCCCGTCCTGCTTTCATCGTATCATATTCGGCTTTTATCTCAGCCAGTTCGGCTTTCATTTCAGCCTTCATCTCTTCATATCCGGCTTTTATCTCGACTAAGAAGTCCATCAAAGTCTTCGTTTCCTTTGCCATGGCTTTCCTTTGCAGGCGAGTCACTGACATTCACTCGCAAACCCCATCCTGACACCATTGTTACGTTTTTGTCTTCCTTCACGTTCGTACGGGGTTCGTAGATTTGGAGTGAATAACGACGACACTTGATGAAGTATCGAAACACACTTTATTTAGCCAATATTAATCAGGACAGCTCCAAAGTCACTCTTTACAGTCATTGAAGATCTACTATAAACACGCTGAAACTCAGCGACACAGCCTTCAAATTATCAGGCTATAACGGTCGAGACAGCTTCACTGCAAAGCACCAGAGTACAGTTCCCGACTGTGCTCGGTCGTTCTCGGAACTCCACGTATTCTCGAGATTCTCCACGCTACAATTCGCGATGCACTCGACGACACACAGAGCACAGCTCCCGACTCTTCGGTTCAGTCGTTCCCGGAGCTCAGCACACTCTCTCGACGATGCACTAACCGCAATACACTAAGAGACTACTCGATGACCCACTCGACTAACTCGAGACACTAACTCGATACTCTCCGCATACCAGCAGGGTTTATATATAGTTTTTGGCTTGTGTTCGAGAACATTCTGGCTAAAGCGGTGAGAATTCATTCCAGAAGGTTCTCCATCCGTCCATGGCATATCGCCAGTTTTGTCGCCAAATGTGTGCTGCCTTCCTTTGCCATTTTATGGCAACCATAAAACTGCTTTTCGGGGAAGCTATCTTACCGCGCCTGGACATTTCGTAACACTGTATTTATTAATAATAACTATAATATTTTAAATAAATAAGAGCATAAATAATTCATTATATTTAATGCATTTAATAATAGAAATAAATTATAAAACACAAATATATATCAAATTGGAACAAAAAGCTAAGAAAGTTGCACACAGGGTGGAATAAGCGTATGGGATTCGAACTCACGACCCCAAAAGTTAAACACTGTTACTGTCAGCTTTACCACTTAGCTATCATGTCACGCGTATGGTATGCAATTTTGGCTTATATAAATCATCAAGTAAAAGAATTCTTAAAATTAAATGTTTTTATCATATTTCAATGTGCTATCGTCTAAAAAATTCACCAGAGTTTGTTCTTCAGATTCTTATTTCAGTTCTTTAGATTTCCTACAAAAACATAATTTTTTAAAGTGGCATTCCGATTGAAGTTAATCGGACTGATAAAAGTATATCCAAGTGAATGATGTGCTTACAAATATATATTACCCAATAAGGTATATTCATAAATAGAGAAATACAAATTTAACATACTTTTTAATGCAGTAGAATATTTAAAAGGATATTAAATTTAATTTATAAATAACGTTATTAGTTTTTACCTGTTTCAAAAGAAAAAAAAAATCTTTTAATGCATTATCTGATTTGCTATAGCAGTTTGATGTAGTCAAACGTTCATTTTCATTAAAAGTAAATGTGTATGCAGAACTAGAAAATAACTGTAAGAACAAATTTTGCTATTTCTTGGTATTGGAATTATATTTTTTGCACCTGATTTTCTTAACAGTAATCACTGCTGTCTGTGAATTGCTACTGTAGTTGCAGTTATCTCATTTTTCTTTTCTTTTTTTTTTTAGCCAAATTCAGTTGATTGCTGTCTTTGTCAATACGCAGATTTCTCGCTATAATTTTAATTCAAAAACAAGTAGCAAAACATTATTTTCCTGATCCAGCGTTCATCGCTACTTCTGCCGCC